GTGATAACCCCTGAGGTTCCTTTTTTACAGTGTATTACGGACTTTCTTTATAAGACTTCCATTTAAATCAAAACAGTAAAAATACTTTGTGAGGTATTTTAATCTAACTGAATCTTTTTGAGTCAAAAACAAGAGAGAACTTCTCCTTAATGAACTTGCCTGTCTATCTAGATACAAAACTCCATAGAGAGTAGCAAAGCTAAACCTACTGATGCTAAACAAAACAAAGAACAACTTTAAGAGGAAACAAAAAAAAAACACCACACAACGTCCAATCACAGCCCAGAGCTGCTCCAGTTCACTAAAGGAACACACAGAAGTTAGTGAAGCATGGTTGTAATAAGCCAAGCTGTTAACACATAATTACTATAATAATAATGGTTATCACTTACATATTGTTGCTAATGCACTCTCAATAAATGTTTTGTATTTTTACTGAAGTCAGAATAAATTTAGTATATTTGGTGCAGCTTTATGAAAGCAATTTCTTTTAACCTAACTGAATATGTACAATATATAATATTAGATACATACATATCTAATATTAGATACATATGTATCTAATACTTTCTACTACAATTGTATTCTTGTATTTGGGGGGGAAATTTTAAATGAAAACAAAAAAACCACAGTACCAAACAGCATCTATACACAACAAAGCTGCTAAAAGTTTACGTCCGATGCAGAATTGCAATTCCTAGCTCTGGGAATTATGGATCAGTCCAAAATGCTCAAAAATTGATTTTAGTCTACTTAATGTTTTCTATATATTTCATTTAGGAAAAAGCCAGGCATCTAAGCTAATCTAACACTGGTAATTTAAGTTAATTTTATGCACAAACCTTGTTTTGTTTAAATATAAACTTTATACATGAGGTTTAAATAAATGTTCTATTTATGTTAACTGTCTTTTCCTGTAGTCTCTTAGGCTCAACAGAATCTCTTGACCGTTTGAAGAGAAAAATCAGATTCTGAATTAAAACTAGTTTCTCATAGTTTATCAAATTGTGATCCTTACAACTGAAACCAAATCATTACACAATGAAAGATTAACAACACTGATGTATAAAAATAACTATTATCAGATCACTGAAAAGTCCATAGTAAAAGTTAAATCTAACACAACTATTTGTGTGTAGTGGCAACTACACCCCAACGTAGCATGTGTCTGACATACATGTGAATATGAAATGTGTGTATGTGTATGCTATGTATGTGATAAGTTGTAGGAACCATTTTTCTGACACATACAGGGAGCAATGCCTGATCCCCATGAGGTGAAGTACTGTTTTTGGTGAGGACTAGGCTGCAAAAATGAATAGATGTCAATGGAAAATCCCTACAAACATACACATGTGTCCATTTATTAAATATTAGCCTTGAATAATGGCTGCTTTGTTAAGACAGGTTAGGAGGAGAAACTCATCAAAGCACAGACTCTAGTCATTGCTAATGAAAGCAGTGTTAACAGAGAGACCACAAGAGAGGCAGTGATGTCTGCCTGACTGACAGCTGTCCTGCGTTCAACACCTACACAGTCTGCAGCCAGGCATAATGAACGCTGAGTGCAGAGCTTTGGAGAGGGTACACAAATCCCCAAGCAGAGCAAATTATCTTCTGAAATATCTCTGGAACTGTGTTTCTTACCAGTATTATGGGGATTGAGGGCATTTTCTCTGAACAGCAGAAATTAAATCTGAAGTGTGCCTCAGACAATCCATTCCTTTGTTTTTGCTGCTAAGCAGAATTGTAACATCATTGACTGTCTAAACACTCACCAGTGTTGAATTGTTTTTGGGTTGGTTTTTTTTCAATAAAAATTGCATTAAATCTCTCAGACTTTCTGCTCTGCAGAAAATAGCCTTAAAAAGAAACATGAAATACAGCAAAATGGTTTCCAGAGCAACACTGAGTGCAATCTTACCTGTGATGGCAACATCAAAACCTGGAATTTACAGGAATTAATTTGAGATCAGAGTTATTTTGCTCCTCATTAGAGTCTCAAAGTCTGGAGATAATTGTAGGTTTATGGGTCAGACTGAACTGTAGGAGCTTCTAGTCGCTCATCATAGTCCAGCAACATGGATTCCAGAGTGTGCTCACATCACAGCCCCACTGCTGACTCTGGATGTTTGGAGACTTCACTGTTGACTCCAAAGGGGGTCACATATTAATCGTCTTTTGTTTCTCTCAAGGAAAAAAAAAATCCATATTTCATAGTCTGCCTCATTCCTGGATTTCCTAATTCCCAACGGTGAAAGTATACAAACATTGTGTGTATCTTCCATGATGTGAAACAGTGACAACTTACATTATAATTCACATTAAAGAGTGTGAGACTCTATTGATTTTTTTAATGTTTTTTCCCTCAAATAAAATGGTTGACACCCACCAAAAACAGAACTGCTTCTCACTTTTAGGTGTGAAGAATTTCTGTGGTTTCTTCCCAATAAATATAAGTAAATAGAGCAGTAATTCTCTAATTTATTGAATTTTTTATAAAGTTATTCCTTCAGAACGTACCTGGAGTGTTGCTTTGATTCTTTCATTGACGTTTGAGAAATTCTTTAATCTCCATGACAACCATTCACCTGTGCAAAACACCTGGGTGGACTCAGGTAGAAGTTTGAACTCAGAGCTTCAGTTTCTAAGCTTCTGCTTCTCAGTGCAATGCTGGTAAAAAAAAAAAAACGATGTTAAATAGGAGCCATGTTGTGATGACTTCCTGAAGGCAGAGTTTCAGAAAGAGCAGGAGTTTTAGAGAGATAGAGACCCAATTTTCAATAAATCGCAACAGCATCTTCATCAGAGGCTTCTTCAACAGCGGCGAAGCCAGAAACTTGTGCTAAGGGTTTCCAGGCTGGGACCATTGCTAATTCAGGAGTGGCTAACAGCTGATCAGCACCAGGGCCACTTCAGGGCCCAATATCTGTACTTTCAAAATAATTCACTGAAACTGAAAATCTGTTCTAGAAGACCTGGCGAGCTTAATAAATATTAGAGTATATTGATAGTACCCTTCTGCCACCCCCTGTTTTGGAGGGGAAGTGCTTGTTCCAAAAATCTGCTGCAGCGCAGACAACATCCAATCACTACAGGGATGGCAGCATGGGTTACCAGGGTGAAATTATGACAACATTTCATTTACTTTTAGGATAAGCAAAGTGTTTTTGAACTATGTTGAAATAACTGATATTATCACTTAAAATGTTTCACTGTCTGTACAATGTTTTTTTCAATTACTCTATTGAAGCAAGTGAACTTGGATAAGATTATAGTTTATTAAGCCTTACTTGTAAGAAAAAATTGAATTCAGCGAATTACTATTTAGGCTTTAATTTTATCTTGAAGCAGGAAGGAGCTAATGTTATATGGATCATGTAGAATGAAAAGAATCCAAAATGTCCACCTTTCTTTGCTGCTTTCTGTTTGCTAGAGCGAGAGCTAAGCTACCACATGCCTCCTCTTCGCTAAATAAAGAATCACAGATGTCATTTTATACAAATAATAGTGTTGGAAACACTTCTTGACAATCCAACAAATGTAAATAGCTAAACAGATTATTTTGATGTGAGCATGATTGCAGAATAATAACCCATCTTGGCAGAAGACACACTACATTGACTCTCCATTTCTTTGTTTAGTGGCAGAAGACAAACAATAATGAGATAAATGAAAGTTGTGCTCAGAATGTATTGTGGCTCTTTCTCTGTAAAGTTAAGCCATTATTTCAAAGCATGAGCGCCTTACCGGAGATGAGACACAGAACTCATTTCAGATAGCATCAGGATGTGGCGCCCAGAACTGCTCCGTAGACACTGAATGAGATGCGGCTCTCATAAAGTGTTTGTTTAAGTTGCTTCACCCAAATGAGCTTTTAATTACAGTAGTGCTTTCTGAAGTGAAGCAGAAAATGTGGCCCCATCTGCATAAAATCACCCTTGTTACTGCCAGTACCACAGTCAGCGTTTTCATCTCCCGCCGTTCCTTCTCTATTAAAGTCTACATCCCTGTAAGATCAATGATTAAAGGAGTAATTAACTTTTTCCACTGGTGGGAAGTTGTAATAAATATTCCATAAGATTAGATGTGGGTGGTAATGAGTCAAATTTTCTCAGATAAATGATCCAAAGTAGCTGTCCAAAGTACATTTAAAGGAATAGTTTTAATCCCCAAACTATTTAAATTTTTTAATAAAATTAAAATAAGATTAAAAATGGACCAGAGATTGGGTTTGCGTTTTCCACAGCTGTGATTTAGTGTGTCATGCGTTTCAATTATTACTGTGTGCATTCATGCAGTGCTGCACAATAAATCAAGAGCGAAATATATTACAATTGGCACATAATCAATACATGGCAACTAGAAAATACATCTGATAGAATATTCGATCATTTCACTGAACTCAGGTCTAGAACCGCTCAGCATTCTGGGAGCTGTAGGCAGAGGAAAAGCTCGGGCCACTCATGGCCGGTTAAGCAAGGTTGATGCCATATGCTAACAAACTCCCTCTTTGGTTATCGAGCAACAGCTTGTTGAGGAACATGTGCTGCAGCAGTTTGAGGTTTTGCCACTGTGACTCATAACTGCTTAAAAATAAAAAGCAACAGTGTGGAGTAAAAACTGTGTGTAAGGGAGGAAAGGTCTCACCTCCAGTTTGGCCGTATTTACAATATTTAAAACGAAAAACTAATCAATAGCACATATTGTGGTAGGTTTTTAAGCCACACCGTCCAGACCTACATTAACGTATATTCTGTAAATCCTAAATAAAACTGTCCTCATTGTACTCCTATTAGCAAAAAATGTTTCTGTTTTTCCATTTCTGTTTCCTGCTAGACTAGCCACCTTAGCTCAGGTTTTATAATCATATTCATACTCATATTAAAACACTGTCACAACTAATGTTTGAATATGTTTGGGGTGGTTTTTTGTTTTTAAATTACTTAAATCTCTTTTCAGCTCTTGTTTTTCTCCCTGATTTTTTTCATGTTTTTCAGGTGTCCTCCTGGTCACATGATCCGTGTGAATGGCACCAAAAAGTCCTGTGTGTACACGCTATGCGCTACGCGGCCTTGTCACCAGGGAACCTGCGTGGCCCAGTCACCCTCTAAGTTCACCTGCCACTGTCCGGAGGGCTACAGAGGGCGCCACTGTGAGACCACATTAGCTGTTTATCGAGAGGAGGTGGGCCTCAGCTTCAGCTCGCTCTTTGCCATCTGTATCTGCTTCATGGCGTTGCTAGGTAAGTGTTGCTTCAGTTGCATCTGATAGATTGAAGAACGCCAGCTTATGTTTGTAAGGCTGGCTGTTGTGAAGCAGACTGCAGCGAGGGCATTCTGGGTAAATACTACCAAAACAAATACTCCTGTTGTGAGAGAAATGAGGAATCCTGCAACCCTAAAAATCTCATGCCACTCCATTTTTCTTTACACTTTGGGAAGAAGGAAGTTGCCTTCTTCAGATCTTTTGATGTTCTTTCCGTCAGTGGTTCTTGGTGCAGCGCCACCCTGGGTGAGGGGGTGGCAGGACACGTTTTGTTTGGTTTAGTTAAGTGTCTTTCTGGTGAGTTCTCTGTTACCCCATATTTTAGTTCCACTCTGCCCTTGAAACCTCAACATAAAAATTGTGGAGGAATATCCTGAAGAAACACATTCCATATTTATTAAAGTTGTGTCATGTTTAACCTTTTGCTCTCTGATCTTTTCAGTACTGTTTGGCATCGAAAAGGTTAGAACACGTTTTCCAACGTTTCTAAATATGTATGTATGTGTTATCAAAGCTGCTAAATTAGTCCTCTTCATTTGAGAATTTGCTGTCCTTTGGTCATAAGATTTGTGAAATTTAGACAGTTTTACATCAAGAGCAACTGCTTCACGTATTGCCCCTCTCTAATTAAAATTTCTGAAAAGGCAGAGGTACAAAGGTTATGTTCAGCTGATGTTTTTTTCTCCTGTCATACACATAAGGATAAAAAGCTGGTATATTTCCAAACTCTCCTTAGTGTCTTGTAAACTAAAGTTGTTTACTTTGCTCTTACAGCCTGGGAGGAGTTAGTGACTGAATTTTAAGATGTTTTCCTGGTAAAAGGTTCAAATTGTAGCCTAGGGCTTCACATTCAGCTGGGGAACCCAGCCTTGCACTTTTGCATACAGAAAGTTTGAACTTCTGAAAAAACAAACAGAAAACAAGTTATTAACAAACCTGTGATTCAAAAAAATGAGAGAAATATCTGGCTTTATGTTGACAGGAGATAAAGATAGGGCTTAGTCGATGTGTTTTACAGCTTTGAGGCTACAGCTTTTGTTGTTCTCAGTGACTGTTGTATGGAAAAAGATTAACTAAATGATTGACGTGTGTGTGGGTGTGTGTAGTGTTGCACCTGAAAAAATTCAACATCCATGAAAAGACTAGCATCTCTTTGTAATAATCAATTGAAACAAGAACCATTCAATGAACTCAGTGCAGCTAATATTACATCTAGCATCACAAAATTCAGTGTTTCACAACTTATGCAGTCTGAGAATAATTCAGACTGAATTCCTGGGGATCTCAGTCCAGGCCTCCTGGCCAAAGGTCTCAGGTTCATTAATATTCTTAGGTTTCCAGTTTGAAGGTAGAGAAGCCACCGATTCTCTCACAGTGAAATGTCCCTGTCAAGACTTCGAGCTATCGCAGGTGTTCTGTCTGAAACGTACTCATAAACCCTTGGTTGGATGGGTTGCATTGGGTGTGCCTGGAACAACACTTGATTTGTAAATGTTTATTCAGGGTTTGCAGTTGAGTTGAATTTGGCTTATTTCAACAGTCATTTGTTTGTTGCGAATATCGTAAAACTTTAGAATTGAAAATATTTTCAGAAACAACTTTAGATAACCAATAAGCAGGAATGTCAGTGTGTCCTCTATGGCAGGAAACCTCACCTGTCTGATGAACGTCTGATATTTAAATTGGTGAAATGAAAGTTTCACAAGCGGATCCATAGATTAAAAAGTTGGACAAAAATTTAAAATCACATTGAGATAATTTATTTTCCTGCTTGGTGCCCAAAATTATTGATAACCATGGAAGATTTTGGTTTAAACTCCTCACTTATTATTTTTTCAACATGTTTCTTTTTATTGGAAGTAACACTTTCTGGAGTTGTAACTTGAATTCAATACAGAGGAAATGGAGGTGATGGCAAGGAGGCCTTTTAACCTCAAAATATAAATATATGTTAATTAATATGACAGTAGAAAGATGCAACAAGGTGGTCACCAATTTTAAGAAGCATTTAATTATGCTTTAATGCATTTTAAGAAATAATTTCAAGCATGTTTTGTTTGAGTCTGTACTGTACCCCGTTTACATTGTGTATTATGTTAATAGACGATAGCCGATTTCTAATGGTGACAGTGTGTTTTAAGAAATAAGAAACTAAACGAGCCCCTGATGAGTGCGAGCCACATGGAGATTCAAATAGTGCTGCGGCCACGCCCTGCAGGATGCAAAGACCTGCAGGCTAACAGATGATTGTGAAGAAGAATCCTCAAGTAGGAGTCAAAACCATGCAACTGATAATGTTAACTCTGAATGATGACACCACTTTATGTTGATAGAAACGTTGGCCAAGTGTGATGCAGTGAGGTCAGAGTCGACTTCTGTAATGTCTACAGCAAAACGTTTAAGAAAGACAGTCTTATTGCTACTTTTCTAAGAGAAAAAAAAGACAAAAGATTTTGATATCACAGTGAGAAGAGCTAAACATTTTTCACCCGTCTTGATCTTTAGTGAAGTTTTCAGGTTTTCAGGCTCTTTTTATTAATAAATGTTTAAAACTGCAGCTTAATGTATTTTTGGAGGGGAAGCAATGTATTTAATAGTGTATTTTGGTAGTTGCCACATTTGTATGTACCCTCTGATTTGGGTAAATGAAGATAGAGCAGTTGTTCAAGACATTTACTAATATACTAATTAAGCAGCATGACAACAACTTAAATAGCCAAAGGTATTCAGACATCCTTTCAACTCACTGGCTTCTGCTTCCACTAACGATTATGAAAGATTTGGCTGCTCTCTGTAGGTCATTGAATTTAAACACAACTCTAGCTGCATTCCCAGTAACCACAGAATTGTGCAAATATAAATTTAGACAATAAATTGGCTTTATGGAAACACTCCAACTTAGAAAAAACTCACGTTTTTCAATGGAAAGCACTGAAAACACTTTTTCTGCATTGCAGAAATCACATGATCAACAGCCGGATGTTACTACTGGTGAAAACGATGGAGAAAATGACAGGAAGTAGGAGGAGGATGAAGGTTTTGGATAATATGCAGCTGCCTCCACCAGAGCTTTCACAACATTGCTGCAAAGGATTGGTCAACTCAGCATTGAGACTTTTCTACTGAGTGCCATTAACGTCTGTTTTGTCCATGCAGCAGACTCATTACTTTGGGTGTTATAGTGTTTCTACACAAAGCATTATCTGTGTGTTTCCGGATGTTTCTAATTATTTCTGAAATGTGTCAGGTTGTTGCCACAACTCTTAGAAGTGCAGTAAACTAAAGCAGTAGGTATTTAAGCTGTTGGAATAATGCTATCACACTTACACTAACAGGGGCCTGTAAACACACAGCACTTAGAAGCAGTAGTAGTAATTATTGCATGATGCATTGCATTAGGTGCTAATAGGAAGCACAACCTGGAAGGAAAGGACAGCATATAAATAGTTTTTTGTTGTTTTTCAGTGGAGCAGTGGTGGAAAGGTTGCAGCTGGAACTGGATGGAGTTTTGCCAAGTCATTTCCTATTTAAAATTATCCTTTGCAACGCAAGTAAAACTTTAGAAAGCAACAATTTTATCCTGTTTTTACATTTGGGATTCTTCACATAAAAACCTTTTCAAACCACATTCAGTCATTCAGACGTTAGATAACTTTCTGCTGAAATTGCACAGGTTTCATTAATCCATAAATCTCTGACAAACATGTAGATAGATATATGCTCCAAGTCTTTCAACGGTGATATAACTTACAATCTTGCAACAGTGGGTAAATAACTATTTAATAACTAATTTCTATTTTATTTTTAGACTGATTGGTATTGTAATTGTGAGGGTGTACATGCAGCAGACCTTTGAGGTGATCGTTAACACCTCCAGAAGTAAGAATATTTGCACAAATAAACACAAGTGTTGACATTAGAAAGAACTGAGGATGTAAACAGTTCAGACTGAGCAGCAGGCCAGAGTCCACCACACCGGACAGAGTCCAACAGCACCCAGAGACAACCCGGGCTTGTGGGTGGAATAAAAGGTTGTGAAAAAATCTGGATATGCAAACAAAGCCTGCATATTTTTCTAATATATTTAAACATGTGCTTACTTAAGATAGGTTTCAACAATATTGAGAAAATCAGCATGACTTGTAAAGGATTTAAAAAGGTCTCAAGATAATTTGAAGTGTCATAGAAAATAGAGTCTTAAGTGATCACACTTTCACTTACAATCACAGAAAACAATGTTTTTTTTTTAAATGATAAAAAATAAAAATGTACAGCCAGATCGGTGGAATCACAAAAAAATGAAATTAAAATCACTCATGAAACTGGAGAGGATGCAGTGCAGCAAACCAGCTCTGAACTGGTTTCTATTACAAATGTGCACAAATTTTTGTAGATATTCTGCTAATGTCTAAAAAAAACACAACTGCAAAATAAGAAATATAAATTAAAACTACACATGAATAACCTTGCTCATGCAAAAAGTTACTAAAAATTATGGCAGTGACCATAATTTTTATTTTTATGAAAAATAATATATTCATAGCTGAATATATTCACAATCCAGCCCTGGTGCTAGCACTCATCACCTAACAGCCAATCAGAGGAGACGTGGAGGTCTTATTATGGGATTGGAGCAACAAGCCCCTCCTTCTTGGGAGCAGCTATGTAAGCTCTGTTTTGGGGAAATGATTTTGCAGAATGGTTATGGATTAATAACTGGATTTAATACTGTATTCTGGTAGTTTCCACATTTGTATGCAGCCCCTGATTACTACACTTGCAGGTGCACACATTCACACAACATTGTATGGAATGACACGCAACTTTATGAACTGTGATGCTGTGAGAGCTCTGGTGGAGCCAGCCACACAATGTCTGGAAAAACAAAAAGGTTTGTGCCAGTAGTAAATCTGCAGTTCTTTATCGTGTTCTGTTTAATGTCTGAACCCAAAAGATATGTTAGCAGTTCATTTGAAA